TTTTGCCACTAGAGGGCGCGTATTCAAAACAAACAAAGAAACAAAGGCGTAGTTTGATGATGCCGTGACTGAGTGAGGAATCATGGGAGTTGTCGTCTTCATCCCCACAGCCGATGCAATCCGACGGGACTCGGGCAGAAATCATGTTCATGGATGAGCTAATGATTTGGTAATGTAGTAGAATGAAGCAGGGTGAGGCTGAAAGCCGTCGAAGCGAAACGAGGCCGCTGAACGAGCGTGACACACGGCTCGAAAGTAGCATTATGCCACAGTCGACCGCTTCCGCTCCTTCCGGTCGTGCGTATGTGGGAAAAAAAAGCGTCTTTGGTGTTTCCATGTTTTCTACAAAACAAAACCGGAAATCGAGGGGTTATGACGTCATTGGCAGGCGACACAATGACACTATGGACACGCTCTGTGTCACTAGTTGAAATTGCTTATTTCTCTGGATTTAAACATTCTTCGATACATTTGGGATAATGTAAGTACACAAGTCAGCAAAATATATAACACTGTTCTAGTGGTTTTTGGATATTTTAATAAAAAAATCTTACAAATTGTGTCACACTATGTAACATAGGTAAAACCCAAGTAGCTTTCACATGACAAGCCACAACCAACAGAAATCATGTCACAAAGCACAAAAGTTCATCCACATAGTAAGGCCCACCTAAAAAAAAAAAAAGATTAAAAGCAAGTTAAAAGCTCATAAAAACAGGTTTTATTGAATAATTCATAAGTGCTTTAACAAAAACTATGACTTTCACTTTTTCTGCTTTAAAACCCTCTGAAACACATAAGCAAAAATAATAATTTCTGAACATATTTGTATCAAATATACATAAAATGATCAATATAGCAGTATATAGACTCTATATAACAAAATCAATATAAACAGAAGTTTTAAAAACATTTTATATAAAATATGTATTATAATGTACATTACTGGTCAAACGTTTGGAATAATTAAGATTTTTAAATGCTTTTTTAAAATATGTAATATATACCACGGCTGCATTTATTTGGCTGCTGGGCGGGGACAGGGCGGTTTCGGTTTCGATCCATAGCACTGCCAAGCCTGTTCTCCATATTGTGCAGTGGGAATCGTACCGGAGGCAGTCCACAATGGAGAAATAACGGTCCAGCACGATAGCAGCGAGTGTTAAAGGGGTCATATGATGCGATTTCAAGTTTTCCTTTAGGACCTACAAAAATGTACAGTATTTGAAAAATAATGTGTTTTTTGAACATTAAAGCATGTCAACATATTCTGTTACACCAAATACACAAAATAATGATCTTTAAAAAAGCATCATATGACCCCTTTAAGACTGACACGGTGCAGTAGACTGAGGACGTGTAGCCGACATACAGACATAGATCCTGGAAGACCAAGAGAACCAGCACAAAATGATCAAAAATACTGATAAAACGTGATCTTGTGACTTAAAGTTGATGCATTTAATTTTTCCATGCTAAAATAAAGACTGTGGTTCTATCAAAACCATTGTTATGTTTTAAGAATGCCGATCAGTTTAGCCCAGCAACTTTCAGTTAATGGCATGAATTTGGGGGCGGGACAACTGGTTTGGTCGACCAATGGCAAAATGGGGGGGAAACTTGTTTGGAAACAGTGACTACTTTTGCAATTCCATTTAGTGGTGCTAGCAGTTGGAAAATCACACACTTCACCTTTAAGGTATAAACATTTGATGTTTAAAAGAAAAATAATATTACTGATTTAACTTTACTGACACTATAAGTTGAGAAATAATTTTAGTTCTGAATTGAGCTACACACTAAATTTGCAACATCAAGACTGCCATTGAACTGAACTGAATCAACATTGAACTGACTAGAGCTGAATAACGACACTTATTGCCTTCTGTAGAGCTCCTTACAGCTGAATTGAACTTGTTTTATAATTCATTTTACAGCATTAATAGCTATTTTCCTGTTTATTAATGTGACTGCTTTGAAAAATTCTGTACTGTATAAAGCTCTATGTAAATAAATGTGAAATGTAAAGAATTTCGTACTTACATTGCAGTTGACCAATACTTTTTCAGGATTCTTTGATGAAAAAGAACAGCATTTATTCAAAATATAAATCTTTTCTAACAATATTAATCTTTGCTATCACTTCTTAACAATTTAACAAAAAAAGAAAGAAGAAAAATGTACTGACCCCAAACTTTTGAACGGTAGTGTATATTGTTAGAAAATATTTATATTTTAAATAAATGCTCTTCTTTTTAACTTTTTATTCATCAAAGAATCCTGAAAAAAAGTATCACAGGTTCCAAAAAAATATTAAGCAGCACAATAGTTTCCAGCACTGATAATAAATCAGCATATTAGAATGATTTCTGAAGGATCATGTGACACTGAAGACTGGAGTAATGATGCTGAAAATTCAGCTTTGCATCACAGGAATAAATTACATTTTAATGTATATTAAAAGAGAAAAATGTTATTTTACATCATCATAATATTTCACAATATTCTTTTTTTTTTTTACTGTATTTTTGATCAAATAAATGCAGCCTTGATGAGCATAAGAAACTCTTGTAAAAAACATTAAAAATCGTTCTGATCCCAAACTTTTGACCGGTAGTGTATATATGAATAAATATTATAATAATTAACCAAACAATAAATAGCCAAATTTTCATGTAATTCTTTTTGATCATGTGTTCATTCATGGGTGTGATGTCACAAAAGCACAGATGTCTGTAATGTTTAGTAGAGTGTTCACAGTTCTGAAGCTTATAGCATGGTATGTTTAATGTATTTCATTTCTATTTTTCACATCTCCCCTTTAAATGCTTTATCATTAGGTAACACATTTTTACTTACTAACACATCTTTTGATATTCTTTTTATTATTTGACATTTATTGCATAATTACCAATTAAAACAATATGCACAAGAAAATAAGTTCTTTAAAACTATTCCTTTTAGCATGTTACAGTTAATACAAATGAAAACAAATAAAAAATGTAATTTATAGCATCATACTAAAATCCTCAGAAATGTATTAGAAATCAAATGCAAAACTTTCTCATGTCCACAGGAAAACTCTTACATTCACAGACATTGTTGAATGTTGTTGAGTAGAGTTCTGCTCACTCGTCACTGTGCCCAGACTCATCAGCACCATCAGAGTCTCACCGTCGAGTTCCTCACCGCCGTCCGCATCTGAAACTCAGCCTCATCTCAATCAAACCACTCCTGAGCAGAGGACTCCATTTAAAAACAATCAATCTGGATCAAGTCCGATATGGAAACTCTTTATAAAGAGGTGTCCCAATCTCATATGCGTGCCACAAGCAACCTGGCCATTTAGTTTTAAATAAGCAAATCTTCCATTATAATGCAAAATGCCTGAGAATATATTCCAATACTTGATTAAACAACTCATCTACACTTGACCTGACAGTGCAGTTTAGTATCTCCAGGGTGCCTCCATCAGCCATCGGTTTATCTATAGCGATGACAACATGGAAAATCAAACGCTTGACTTGCGAATTACACAGCAAGAGAAAACAGAGCAGTTGAATATCTGGTTCATTTAAATGGTTTTTTACATAAATGGTTAGTTTCTCAAGGGTTTACAATGGTTACGGATGCAATTAATTGTCACTTTTGCATCGCATTTTCCATAAAATGTGTGGGAACAAATATGGATTCACAAAAATATGAATTAAATATTAACAAGTGACTCATTTGGAGATAGAAATGCATTTGAAACAGTTTATTTTACCTAAATTCAAAGCAATAATAAAATATTTCATTTCATATATAATTCACAAATTCATCCAACATCACGTTTAAATATAATACAGAGTAAAAAATAACTCAGAGGAGAGGAAAAGGAACAAAAGATGATAGTGTGGATCTTTTTACTCAAATTTGGGGAATCCTGTCAAGCAAAATGCCTCTTATGACTTACTCGATTTGCTTAAACAAGACTTTTCCTTAGAAATAATGGAGTACAATGCAACATCTCGAAAATACTGACAGATGTTTTCTGCGAAATAACACAGACTGTTTTGTGTTTTATGACCCAGTGTTCTGTCCTAAATGTTGTCTCGTATATTCCCACACCAGCAGGGCGGCGCTCACGTGCACGTTGAGGGAGCGGGTGATGCCGTGCTGAGGAATCTCCACACACACATCCACCAGCTGTAGCAGGTTTGCAGGAATGCCTTCTCTTTCATTACTGTTCAGAGACAGACACAAGCACCAGAGTCATGCATCAGGTGAGTATGTTTATTAAACAATTTGGCTAATTTAATTATGCTTTCTACTACCAAAAAGAGCACAGCAGTCTCTGCTTATTTGACCATGTTATGAGTGGCCATGAAATGACTGGATGTGCAGTGTTGGTTCCTGTGTTTGTTTCAAAGGAAATATGGAACACATATGAACCATGATTTTTGGGCAAAATTTAGAATATAACTCTGTGGACAAGATGAGTCAATATTTTTGGTTCATTTTCCTGGAAGAGAAACACTGTAAATTTTAATATGTACATCTACTAAAAGTTTGTCAACTTTCAGAATTACTCTAGCATATAGTTGAATAATAATAAAAAAACACTTCCTTAACGAAAAAGACTGCACATTTTAATATATATATATATATACATACACACACACACACATGAATGATGTATAATGATATGTGAATTATAAACACTATTACAAGTACTATAGAAAGTAATATTTTATTATTCTAACACGTTATTTTATCACTAGCATATGGATGACCAAAAAGCTTGAATAAAAATAACTAAATTAAAAAAATACTATTACTTAATAAAATAAATAATCATTTATAATTATTATAATTTATTATGTTATTTAAAAAATATTGTTAAAAATGTATGCATTCTTTAAAAATGCAGAAAATGATACAAATTTTTAAATAATAAGTCTGACTTAAACTGCCACTCTCATCTTGGAAGAGAAAGGCTAATATAATAGTAATTATAATTAATATGATAATTAATTAGATTACTAATAATCTACTAAAAGTTTATTTTGTTAAGTTTTAGGAGTACACTAGTATATAGTTGACCTAAAAGCTCACATTAAAAATAAAAGAAACTAAAGTAAAAACAAAAATTATTTTTGATAGTTCAGGGTCTTAAAATATATTCTGTAAAATTGCAGAAAATATGTAAGTCAGTAATGCTGTTTTGGCTTGCCGCTCGGTGTATGCCTGATTATCAGTGGGATAATCAGGCATAATAATGCAGTAATTCACACACATGCTGCGCACAAAACATCAGGTGGCTTTACTGCCTCTAAGACAAATGACACAGCAAGAGCAATCATGAAAACCAAACACACACACACACACACACACACGTCTGGATCACTATCCTTGTAGGGACTCCCCATAGGCGTAATGGTTTTTATACGGTACAAACTGTATTTTCTATCACCCTACACCAACCACCTCCGTGAAGTTGGCCCCCCACCCAACGCAAAACGGTGGCAAAATAGTCTCAATCATTTGTGCTCCGTTTGTGCTGTAAAAAATTTTGTTTGTGCTGCTTTGGTTTTTTTAGATATTAAAATAATATTTATAGGTAATTCTGAGGTCACTCAGCCCCCCACATGCTCCAAATTCACCCCAAATAGTCTCGTTTGTTTGTGCTTCGTTTGTGCTGGTTTGTGCAGGTAAAAGTTTCCTTTGTGCTGCTTCGGTTTTTAAAATATTAGACATTGAATCATATGCGATGATGTCACCAGCCCCTCCACATGCTCCAAATTCACCCAAAACAGGCTCAATCGTTTGTGCTTCGTTTGTGCTGTAAAAAAAATTAGTTTGTGCTGCTTAGGTCACTCATTTATTTTTAGATATTAAAATAATATTTAATGATCATTTTGAGGTCACTCAGCCCTCCACATGCTCCAAATTTACCCCAATAGTCTCGTTTGTTTGTGCTGGTTTGTACCGGTATTTTTGTTTTTACTGTCTTTTTTACACACACACCCACACACACACGTCTGGATCACTATCCTTGTAGGGACTCCCCATAGGCGTAATGGTTTTTATACGGTACAAACTGTATTTTCTATCACCCTACACCAACCACCTCCGTGAAGTTGGCCCCCCACCCAACGCAAAACGGTGGCAAAATAGTCTCAATCATTTGTGCTCCGTTTGTGCTGTAAAAAATTTTGTTTGTGCTGCTTTGGTTTTTTTAGATATTAAAATAATATTTATAGGTAATTCTGAGGTCACTCAGCCCCCCACATGCTCCAAATTCACCCCAAATAGTCTCGTTTGTTTGTGCTTCGTTTGTGCTGGTTTGTGCAGGTAAAAGTTTCCTTTGTGCTGCTTCGGTTTTTAAAATATTAGACATTGAATCATATGCGATGATGTCACCAGCCCCTCCACATGCTCCAAATTCACCCAAAACAGGCTCAATCGTTTGTGCTTCGTTTGTGCTGTAAAAAAAATTAGTTTGTGCTGCTTAGGTCACTCATTTATTTTTAGATATTAAAATAATATTTAATGATCATTTTGAGGTCACTCAGCCCTCCACATGCTCCAAATTTACCCCAATAGTCTCGTTTGTTTGTGCTGGTTTGTACCGGTATTTTTGTTTTTACTGTCTTTTTTAACAATACAGTTGAAGTAATAAGGTAAAATTCAAACGGCAAACCAAATCACATGAAATAGTCGCAGTCACTTAATTGTTAGTAGCCATATTCGTTCAATTAGACCAATTAAACAAAGAAAAAAAAAACTAGGCCTATTGTCTTTACAAAAAAATAAAAAATAAATAAAGACTTGATATACGTAGGCCTATTTTCGTTTCTGCGCACAAATAAAACAGCCTACTGTAACCAAATCACATGAAATAGTCGCAGTCACTTAATTGTTAGTAGCCATATTCGTTCAATTAGACCAATTAAACAAAGAAAAAAAAAACTAGGCCTATTGTCTTTACAAAAAAATAAAAAATAAATAAAGACTTGATATACGTAGGCCTATTTTCGTTTCTGCGCACAAATAAAACATGCAATAGCCTACTGTTTCCAGGTCCGTGTAGCCTATACTTTTGCATCCATTTGTTTTTCCTTTTTTAACCATGACGAAAAAAATGAAAAAAATAAGGGTTGTTGTATTTTTAAATGCCATCCTGAAAACCAAATTTGAAATTAGAACCGTACACAAAATGCTGCCCGAAAAAGTAAAATATTGATTTTTTGTTTTTGTTTTTTTGTTTATGACTTTTTGCACCTTTAATAAACAACTGAAAAATGCACAAATTAATATAGAAAATTTTTGATTTTAACAGGTTTTCTTTGGCCAAATTAGAAGTAGGCTAATGCTTCTCTTGCACGTTCAGTTTAGAACTATATGTCTCTGCGCTAGATCATTGATGGGGGAGCTGGGCAATTAATAGTAAATATGACCAAAACAGGGTATTATTATTATTATTTTTATATGAATAATAAAATTGCTATATATGCGCATTTCAAGTATTTGTGGGAGTATTATAATATTACTATATGATATGGAGGCGCCCGCGCAATCTCTCGCATTTTTTTTTCCCCTGCAGAAAGAACTTAGAATAGGCTACTCCGTCATTTTTGGATGTGCTTTCCTCACTGTAAAATCCAATAATTTACCTTACTTAGATTTAATTAGTTATCTTTACTTAGTTGTTATACTTACTAGGTTTTATTAAGTTACAGCTACTTTCAAGGCAAATAAAACAATTTACTTACTGTTTTGAGTGACACTTACTTAAAATATTCAAGTAGCCACAAAGGAACTAGACTTTATCCATTTCCTCCATGTCTGCAGTTATCTTTCACTAGTTGCATTCACTCGTTTCCCAAAGTCATCTTGAATGTTGAATTTTCAATACAACTGAAATATTTGAGAGAACATCACATAAGCTAACTTTATAAATTGACATTGAAGTCAGAGTTATTTGGTTTCAAGGGAAGAAAAGTAATAAATAGGTTGCTTTTAGAAGGTGACCTATCTTCTAATTAAATCATTAGTGTATTTTTTTGTGTGTTTATTCGTTAACTTTTTCAAATTTAATTTTTCATAAATACCTTGCGATGCTTTTATTTGGGTTTATATAATCCTTAAATAATGTGTGGTAATATGCTAAAGTCACACACAGACTTAAACATTCAGCACGTGAATCACAACAATGGTAACAATTAACAATAACCATTTTATTTGCTCTTTTTGTTGTGCTACTACTGACACAAGACAGCAAATAAAATTGGCAAATAAAAACAACAACGGTAAAACAAAGCAACTGCATAATTTATTCATGCCGCAATGCACTCTGGGAGTCAGTGAGTAGCTATACTAAGTCATGAGTAAACCCAAATGAAAGAAAGGATCAAGTACCCCCTACAGTTCTTTTATAGTTACTAGAACTCTCGTGTAAGTAAGCTATACTAACTAAGCATTTGTCAGTACAACATACTATTCCTATTTCACTTTACTTAGTTTTTTCAAGGCAATCGGTTTGCATGCTTTTTTTTAATAGTGTGTGGTAATATGCTAAAGTCACACACAGACTTAAACACTCGACACGTGAATTACAACAGTGGTAACAATTCAGTTTCATTTATTTTCATTAATTGTAACAATAACCATTTTATTTGCTCTTTTTGTTGTGCTACTACTGACACAAGATAGCAAATAAAATTGGCAAATAAAATCAACAACTGTAAAACAAAGCAACTGCATAATTTATTCATGCCGCAATGCACTCTGGGAGTCAGTGAGTAGCTATACTAAGTCATGAGTAAACCCAAATGAAAGAAAGGATCAAGTACCCCCTACAGTTCTTTTATAGTTACTAGAACTCTCGTGTAAGTAAACTATACTAACTAAGCATTTGTCAGTACAACATACTATTCCTATTTCACTTTACTTCGTTTTTTCAAGGCAATCGGTTTGCATGCTTTTTTTAAGTAAGCCCAACTAATTAGATTTTACAGTGCTCAAAAAAAAAAACAAATCTTCTCTAATCTTGCTCACAGACACAAAAAATAAATTTATAGAAATCTTGAAATGTCTACTATTAAACAAACCAATAAAAAAATTTTTACAAAAATCTTCTCTAATTGTGGTCCATATGAAAAGGTGCATTTCTCTATTAAAGGCACGTACATTAGCCTACTGTGGAGATGGCCATCAGCGTTGACTAATCTGTTGACTAGGAAAAAATTTTTAAAAACGAGGCGCGAAAACGAAAATATTACCAGCACAAACGAAGCACAAACAAACAAGACTATTTGGGGTAATTTTGAAGCATGTGGGGGGAAAATTTGGAGCATGTGTGGGGCTGAGTGACCTCAGAATGATCATTAAATATTATTTTAATATCTAAAAACGAAGCAACACAAACTTTTTTTTTTTATGGCACAAACCAGCACAAGCAAAGAAGACTATTTGTGGTAAATTTGGAGCATGTGGGGGGTGGGGGGGGTGAGTGACCTCAGAATGATCACTAAATAATATTTTAATATCTAAAAAACCAAAGCAGCACAAACGAAATTTTTTACAGCACAAATGAAGCACAAACAAAGAAGATTAAATTGGGTGAATTTGGAGCATGTGGGGGCTGGTGACGTCATCGCCTATAATTCGATTATCTAATATTTTAAAAACCGAAGCAGCACAAACGAAACTTTTATCTGCACATACCAGCACAAACAAACAAAACTATTTGGGGTAAATTTTGGAGCAGTGCGGGGCTGAGTGACCTCAGAAAATGAGCAATAAATATTATTTTAATATCTTAAAAACCGAAGCAGCACAAACTAATTTTTTTATGGCACAAACCAGCACAGACAAAGCACAAACGATTGAGCCTGTTTTGGGTGAATTTGGAGCATGTGGGGGGGCTGAGTGACGTCATCGCCTATGATTCAATGTCTAATATTTTAAAAACCGAAGCAGCACAAAGGAAACTTTTACCTGCACAAACCAGCACAAACGGAGCACAAACGATTGAGACTATTTTGCCAACGTTTTGCATTGGGTGGGTGGCCAACTTCACGGAGGTACACCAACCCTACACCTAAACCTACGCCTCACAGAAAACTTTCTGCATTTTTACAATCTCAAAAAAATAAAAAAAATCATTCTGTATGATTTATAAGCTTCTGTACCCATGGGGACCTCAATTTAACACACACACACACACACACACACACACACACACGTTCATTCTTTCAAACACACAAAGTAACAAACAGTATGACAAAGTACAAACACAACATACAGTCAACATAACAGCTGTCCTTGAGATATATATATATATAAATAACACCGATGTTGCTACGTCACTTATCTCAGACTGAATGATAGGTAGGTGTAAATTGTGCATATATGTTGGGTGGTTTTGCTGACAGGACATGCATGTCTCTTTCTCCAGCAGCATTCTGAGGTGAGGAAATCTCACAGGGAGAGACGCATCAATTATCCTTATAACATTAAACTGCACGGACACTGAGACACTTCTATTGTCACATCCCTTCACTATCCCTAGACTATCCTGCCCTTCAAAACAAGTCATCAAATCAAAGATCACTTGTTTGTGTGCTGCATTCGTGTAAAATGACCTCAACAAGTAATTGAACAATTAAGGGTCAATGAAGTTTTTCAAAATGTATTCAAATATTATTTAAAAATAAAAATATTATTTAAATATTATTTCTAAAAACCTGATGTTTAAAATCATGTATTTTAAACTAGATTTGTAAAATGTTTCCTTTTCATCATCTCAATCATAAGGGTCACTGATCTTTAAAAATGTATAAATATCTTTGCATTAGATAACAAAATATCAAACTTATTATAAATTCAAAATGTGGTTGGCAAACATTACTATAGTTACACTGTTAAAAATGATATCAGTAAATCATCTCAGAATGTTTTTTTTTTTCATTACTTTAACTTAAAATCAAAATAACTCAGTTTTAAATTATTTTAAATTATTATTTAAAAAATAATAATTTAAGCAATTTTTTACTTCTTTTTTTTTTTTAAGTTATACCAGATTCAGCTCAATTGTACAGCCAATTTAATTATACTTAAAAATTTAAGGCAGCAACTGATTTTTTTACAGTGTACTTGGGTAGAACATTTCCTAATATGATTGTAATGTATATTTTTGAGTATATAGACAGAATTTGTACATTAAGTTGGAGGTGTTGGTTTACCCCAATAGTAGGAGGCTTCTCTCAGGAAACGTGTAATCTCGTAAACTCTGGCTGTTGGATGTTTGCTCCACACCTATTACCCAGTATCCCTCTCTCTTCTTCAGCTGCAGGAAATCTGACAACTCGGCAGGCTTCACCTGGAAAACGAAGGCATATAACTTGAAATTTGAACGGCTTCATTAATCATGACAGATTCAATCAGTGCAATGCTCAGATTCTACATCTCGCTCCACAGAACCGGGCTATAGCTTCTGATGCTTTCGTGTAGTGTGTGTATGTGGCTGATGTAACGCATGATTATGATGAATAGCATCTCTAGGCTTGTTTTAGCCCACACTCAGAAGAAATATGAAAATATGAGTATGTCTTAAAGGGGTCATATGATGCGATTTCAAGTTTTCCTTTCTCTTTGGAGTGTTACAAGCTGATTGTGCATAGATAAGATCCCTGAAGTTGCAAAGACTAAAGTCTCAAAACCAAAGAGATATTCTTTATCAAAGTTAAGACTCTGCCACACCCCCCTAAAACGGCTCGTTCTAACACGCCCCCACATATCTACCTCACTATGTGGGAATATTTGCATAATGCGCCCAAATGTTCACGCAAAGAAAGAAGGCGTGGTTTCAGTAACCGCAGTTAGTGTTGAAGCAGCCATGTCAGAGAGACTCTGTGTGTTTCTCAACATATTCTGTTACACCAAATACACAAAATAATGATCTTTAAAAAAGCATCATATGACCCCTTTAAAAGGTGCAGTGAGTAATTTCTGCACCACTAGTGGCACCAAATGGAATTGCGATCTGTTTGTTTGAGCAACATGACTCTACCAGTGGTGTCAGTTTGTGGGCGGGGTTAGCAAACAATGTGTAGTCTTGAAACTTGTTTGAAGAGAGTCATTATTTTTACAATTCTGATTGGTGTCAGATCAGATTTTAAGCAACGGAATGAACGGAATAGGATTGAATGTACAAATACAAAACACACACACCTCCAGCATCGGCAGCCACAACTCTGAAGACACACTGAGGACCTGGAACTGTTTGTCATTAACGTGTCGCAGACTGTCCAGAACCAGAGCTTTGGCTCCAAAGATCTCACACGTCCTGCACAGACCTGAAACAGACACACAAACACTTGCAGTTTAGTCCTCTGATGGTCTTAACAGTAGCGTGCATTTAATGCATTACAAAAAGGATGCCTTAAATTAATAAAACCTGACAGTCAAGAAATTTCTATTTCAAATAAATGCTGTTCTTTTCAACCTTCTATTCAGCAAAGAATCATGGTTTCCACAAAAATATTAAGCGGCACAACTGTTTTCAGCATTAATAATAAGATGTTTCTTGTGCACCAAATCAGCATATTAGAATGATTTCTGAAGGATCATGTGACACTGAAGACTGGAGTAATGATGTTGAAAATTCAGCTTTGCCATGACAGGAATAAATTATATTATAATATATATTAAAATAGAAAACAGTTATTTTAAATTGCAATATCATTTCACAATGGTACTGTTTTTACTGTATTTTTGATCAAATACATGTAGACTTAATGAGCATAAGAGACTTCTTTCAAAACCATGTATACAAAAAAGATACACATTCACATTTGAGAGTCGTGGCTGACTGTTTTAATATTAAACCCATCAGTGGTCTTATTAAACGCAACTGTGTGCATCAATATTTATTCATGAAATGTAACTAAGATAAAACTGCATGAATGAAAACCATACGCCTACCAACAATAACCGGTGTGTGCAGAATGTTTGAATGAGCCTTTTATAATGAGCTTGTGTTAAAACTGATTTGTTTGGTGACTCAGAAATGATGATTGAGCTGAATGTCTGTTGTAGTTGCAATGATATTATATGTATATATGACATTCAGGAAAAAACAAAGACCAAACTTAATGTAAACGGTGTAAGACGCTGCAATATCTGTCATTGCAAGGAGAATAAAGGCCATCACAGGATGTGTTCTTCTGTTAAAAATAGGTCGATGCAAAAGAACAAAAGTATATTTATAGGTATGTCTGGCACGTGTACACAGAACGACAATAAAAAAAGCAACTTTATGAAAACTGGCATCTTGCACAAATTTTTTTTGAAAGGAATAATTATAATTATAATAATAATAATAATAATGTTAAAAATGTCACTTTAATGAAAGAAATTAAGATGCCAATTTTAATAAAAGGTCATTATTTAGTGATCATATAACAATTTTATTGATAACTACTAAATAATACTACTATAATTAATTTGTCCATTTATTTGTCTTACCGCCCAGATTGGTGGGCTTGTCAATGAGAGATGCGACCACCAGGAGGTTGCTGGTGAGTTTGCCCAGGCGTGCTGCTCTCTGCTGGGCCATGAGCTCAGGCTCCTGCACCTGGACACTCAGCTTCCACGGGGTGATTTTCTTCTGAACTTCTGCCCAGCGCTCTTCCTGCTCCAAACCACCTGTCAGACATAAAACATTTTTAAATGTGGTTTAACATTTCAAATATTGTAATGCTTTCACCTTTCTCTTAACAAATTAGCTGGAGCTGTAACAAACTGAACATGAGAGCTGACAAAGAGAAGACCGTCTTGTTCAGCCCCATCTCACTAATGTTTATAGAAGTAGTAACCATTATCGCATTAAACTACGTGGAGTACACCTATTTTAATCGCAATAAACAGGCATGTAAATAATCGCATTATTACCGCTCTAGCCAAAATGCACATGTGCTCAGATGCACATGAATGCCGCGTATTCTTCACATTACGAATGAACTCCGTGACATTATTCTGAAGAAGTCCTGGTTTATGGGGGTGCTATAGGGTGCTAAGCACCCTCAAACGAAAGCAAGAGCACCCTCAGTTGAGGCTGCAGAAGTAGGATATTCATAGTTTTCACGTGACGTCACATCCTTACAGGAAAGCCCACATGGAGGGCAAAACAAGGCTTTCCTCCATTGACCGCCAGTTATTTTTAGGAGGACTGCATTAAGTAGTAATGTAGTAAGACAGTGATATTTAAAGGCCAAATTCAGTATACATCTTATTGATGATGCATACTTTGTACAGGCAAGCAGATGAACCCAGAATATAAACACAATGCGCAAAGTTTAATATTAAATGTTTTCCCATAGAAAACCATTATAAAGAAAACACAACCATTTAGCGCATTGCGTTCATATTCCGGGCTCATTTGCTTGCCTGTATAAAGAACACATCATCAATAAGGTAGGGTTGGGTATCGTTTGGGTTTTTTTCGATACCGGTGCCAAATCGATACTTTTAAAACGGTTCCGGTGCCTTATTAAAAAATAAATAAATAAAAATTCCCACAAAAAATGGATTGGCCATTAGAATAGAAATAGAATAGAGAGTGCAAATGTTAGAGGCTTAAATGAAGATGAAAGAGATTTGTTTTCAGCCGTTTCTTGAAAATATTAATGACTA